CTAAGGACCTATAGATTGGAAGTGGGTAGGAATATGTTTCGTGACGATCTTCCCGGGCGGACAATCCCAATCACCATAGCCCAAACACCACATGTTCCTCTAGGATTTCTGAGTAGAAGGCATCCGACTAATGAAATAACCCCTCTCTTTTGCCTTTCGGCAATTGTCCTGTACCCAGCCAAAACTTCCCTGTTGCTTAGAGATCGAGTAACGATACATAAACTGCTCAAGCGTCGACTCCCCTAATCTAGCCAACCACCAAGAAATGTACACCTCATGTAGAAGAATCCAGAAGTTAGGATTATATTGCTCCAGCGTATACCCCAGCTTGGCCAACATCATCTGTACCTAAGGATGAAATGGTAGTCTGAAGCCATGCTGGTACATATTTGTGAATATCAGCACACCCTCCAAAGGATATCTAACCACATCAGCAGCAGTGGGCAACCTTAAGCCCACCGAGGGTGGGACACTAAAATCTGTCCGAAGCTTTGCCAGCTTCACCTCAGTAACTATATTTCACATTGCCAAAGGGACACCAACCCGTATATCTACTCCCTCTGAAGCTGAAGCCACGACTATACCCACAGACCCTGATGGTGATGCCTAATTGCTCGAGCCCACCTCTGGTGTATGAGGCAAGGCCAGAACTCAATCAGTTATAGCCTCTAACACTTTGTAATTCCTCTGCATCTCCCTATATGCAGCTGACCCAGAATCTACTGATGGCTTACCCCTCTCACCCTCATACACTACCATCCTACTTTCTATAACACCTTATACCACACCCTCTGTCTCGGAACTCTCACATTCGGAACACACATATTGGCTTGGCTCCTCACTTTTAGTATCTTCCCCAACAAAGGCAGGGGGGTCATGACTTTCTTTACCAGAACTTTCAGATGTCTACAATATGCAGAAACAAGGAAAAGGAACTAATGCACATGCAAGAAGGATCGAAAACATAAGAACACAAAAAGGAAAAGGAACTATTACACCATAATCAACTGAGCATATCCAGCCTCAAGACGACTAGCACCAAGGCAGACACGCCTTCTCCCCTGCCGAAGGAAGACACTCTTCCGAGGTGCCAGACACCTGCCAAAGCTCTCGGCTGCTGGAACTAATCTCCAAGGACACATGTCCTCACCACAGCAACTTGCACAAAGTCCCACATCGAAACTTTGTGCAAACCTCCAACTTTCACTTCCCTATAAATAGGGAACAGTACACAAGTAAAAAGAGTAACTATTTTCTCACCTTTACTATTACTCTGCCAAATTTACCACTCATAGCTGACTTAAGCATCGGAGAGCTTTCGGTCGGTACCACACCGATGTCCGAAGCTTGACGACTGCTTCTCCTACTTTGTCTTCTGCAAGCTCTTCCCTTACCGAAGGTCTTCACCTTCTCCCCTGCTAAAGACTATCAACTTCTCTCTAAGTTGACCTCCCAAAAAGAGCATCAACAAATCTCACTTTAGTCTATCTAGACTGAAGTTCACTCAGTTACATTTTCTTTCCTTTTGTTGTATTTTAGTCCAATCGAATCATTTTGCTTCTTTTAGTTTGTAATATCCATTCAGACACAGTTTTATAAGCGATAGAAGTTACTATTTCGATATGATCTCTTGCCACAACCTTGTTTGTTTGAGTTATAAATCACACAAGTGGAATAAAGTCCTTATCAAACCAGGCATATAAAAGAACCAGTTTCGGCCAGTTCCCCACTTGGAGCAGAAGGACTTGATAAGAAGTTAAGATTTATTAAGGCACAAGAGAACCAGATTAACATCACCTCTGATTCACACTCTTACTATTGGGTTTTCAAGTACCAATAGTGACACACCTATAATAACATTCCACAAAGCATATTAAAGCCTAGTTTTGGGCCCCAATTAACTAAAAACTACTACAAGTATATTAAAGCCCATTTTTTGGTTTGATTCACTCTCTTTCTTTTAAGCTTTCAAGTATATAGTAGCAAGCTATAATAACATTCCACAAAGCATATTAAAGCTCATTTTTTTGGGCTTAATTGACTAAAAACTACTACCAGTGCTAAAATACACAACACTTTTTAGGGAGAACAAAAAGTTAAGACCTTTTTCAAGATTTGAAAGAGAAATGTAATTAGACTAAAAGACCCTATTTGGTTCACGGAACAAAGTTGATGAGAAATCACTTCCCATGTACTTCTCAAGGGATGGGAAATGGAGATTCATTTCCCATGTTTGGTTGATGTATAATTTTACTACCTGAAAATTAGATAGTTAAATTTAAGAAATAAACTTGCAAGCGCACAAGGTTAATGCAATATAGCCAAGGCAAGTACAAGGTTGTTCCCACAGAGACTGAATAAATTCTCAAGTTGTTGTGAATTATAAATTAATTTAAATCCTAAATTACTCTAGACACCCTAATTAATAAACTTAAAACTAATGACTCAACTAAAACTTAATAGAGGAGTTTTGAAAGTTGGTTTTGAAAGATTTTCTTTAAAAGAACGTTGAAAACAAAAAAATTAAAAGACAAGATAACGAAGAAAAACGTGAACTAAATAAGTTTGTGAAAGATTTTAAGAAAGCTTACCAAGACAACAATTTCACCACAATTCCTCTTATCCAAACCTTAGCATGCATACTATCAAAATTCCCAAGTTATGTTGATGATAAGTTCTCCAAAATTATGATTAACTCTTTTCATAGCAATTAACCACTTCTTCTTACACGCAATTTATCCTTGGCATGAGGCATAAATATAAACATATAAAAAGACCTTAGGTTCAATGAGAACTTCACACAATCACACAAACCCCTAAGAGTATGGTGTTTACCTTAGGCGCATTCATGAATTTAATCACAAGAAGCAAAACTCATATTAGGCATGGCGTATACCCTAACATGCATCAAATTACTTAACCAAAAGCCTAGATGGTAGCTAAGCATCAATATCATTAGTTAAGAAAATAAGCACAGTGATTAAATTTCAACAACATGGAAATTCTAATAGCATGACATAACTAAGCTTTGAATAATTAGAAAAGGGTTACATTGTGTCTTAGTAAAAGAAAATTAGTTACTCATAATCATGGTAACAAAGCAAAAATAAAACATGGAGAAAGAGATAAGAAAAACCCTTAGAGTTTAGAGGCACGGTTGCTCTTCCTTGCTCCACGGTTGAAGTCTGAAATTTCTCGGTCTCCCTTGAGACCCCACGAACTCCCTCTTAAAAGAACCTAAAACCTAGTTAGAATGGGCCTAAACAAGTGGCCTTACACGAAGACTTGACTTCCAAGTCAGTTCCTAACTAGAAAAGGTAATTAAAACTAAGTTTCCTAAAACCTCCAGGAAACTGCACGTGATCCTCATTGCGAATGTGATTTGGACATCTTTCCAACCTCCAAAAATTGCGTACGACCACTCTTTGGAAAGCTCTGGATGTCTTCTTTTCAGCCATATATCGTGTGCCTCAATCCGATGTTTTATGAATGAGTTATGGCCAAAATACCCCTTCTGACTCAGTATTCTCCGGGAATTGATTTATGCTGAGTTGTCTAATTAAAAATGGGCACCTTAGCAGTCTTCAAAAATTATGAAAATATTCATGGATAAACTTCAAGATGCTGTCTTCCATCTCTAATTAGAATCATGTCAAACTCTATTACGATGAATATTTGGTGAATTTATACATTTCGTGGCTCATAAGCTGAAAAACCAGGAAATAACTATACTCATCATCTTTAGTCCAAATTAATTCACAAAACTAAGTAAATATGATATAAAATCATGTGAAATTATGAACATATCATTGGTAACCCTGAGAAAGTAACTAAGAAATACCACTTTATTTCCTTTCATATGTTTGGTTTGTGTAGGAATGTAAAACAAAGTTTGTTTAATTTTTCAATTATACTCATATGAAATCAAATTAAAAAAAGAAAAAATAATGCATTTAATGCTCTATTGTAATTCTAAATTGGTAATATGGACAATATGGTCATGAAAAATGTGTATTTAATGTTGACTCATTTTCCCAAACTTTGCCATGTGGAGGAAAACAAAACTCTAAAAGGGGGAGGAAGGCTTCACTCCCACCACTACTTTCCCATGTGCAAAGCAATTTCCTATGCCTGGACTTACCAAACATGGAAAAACAATTGATTTTCCAAACCCAAGCCTCATTTTCCAAGAACCAAACGGGGCCAAAGGGTAGTGAGGAATTAGATGGTCCTCGTGAATGCTTAACACTACCTTAGACAAAGGGATGTTGTGTGCTCTTAAGAGCACTTCCAGCGGGAGGCCCCAACTAGGACAAGAGGCCCTATACCCCCATTTGTGTTTCCAGCTCCCCATTCTTGCCAAGGCAAGAGATGGGCTCCACCAACCTGAGTAAGCCCAAAGGCAAGACTTGCCTAGGCAAACTGACCAGCTAATTTAAATAACAAAAAAATTGAAAAAAAAAAAAGGAAAAAAGAACCAAAAATTTCAGAAATTTTGTTTTAATAAATACCTAGCCATATTTTTCACTTCTTATACCAAAACTCTATACAAATTCCTCTCCTCATATCTCACGTGCATAGTGGTTGCTCTTGGGTTACTATGGCAATGGGTGGAAAACTAACAAAAAAATTGCTTGAGCAGACCCTATTTATATGAATAGTAACAACCTTTGCCTCCCCTACCCTTTGCCATGACAAATGAGTTGCTCTAATAGAACTAGTCTAGTCATACGCGAGATATTTGTCAGTTTGCTTAACAAACTACCATGTGAGTGGATGCTATCTACCTACTGTTAAGCTTGGGGATAAAGTTTAACTCATCCCGATCGGATGAAGGAGGTTATTATCTTTTGTAAAAACAAAAAGGATTTAAAAGAGAGACAAATATGTGTGTGTTAGTTATGTGTTTGTCTTATTTTGGTTCAGGAACCAGACCCAGGTTCAGCACGGATATGAAAATTATGTCATGTTCCATTTACGGCAGGAGCCCAGGTGGGACCCACAAAGATTTCTTAAACAAAACGATATGTTTGGTCTTGCTTGTAATCCACAGTCTCCTTTGCTGACGTGAAAGCAAGGCAAAAGTCCTGGATAAGAGAAGAGACGATGTCTCTTCTCCTTGTTTGCTTATATAGATAAGCGCAGAAGAAAGACCGAGTCAACTCACCCACTGTCTCTTGGAAATATCGACTCAAAAACAAATTTCCTTAGTTGGGTTGGAGTTGGAGTTAAAAAAGAAAACAAGAATATTTATTTCAGGTATTATTTTTTTGTTTAGTCTCTGAACTGAATTTTATACTAAATGGATGAGAACTTAATAATGCACTCTTATCTGAGCATCGCTGAAAATCACCATCTTTCTGGGTATTCTCTTCTTCTTTGTGGAATTGGGTTTTTTCTCTTTATCTTTTTTTTATTTTATCAATTTTAAACAATAGAGACTTGCTTCACTAGAATCTCCTTGAGTTGATCAACTTTGTAGTTATTTAATTGGTCTTAATTATTTGTGGGTCTTTCATAATGTTACCACACATCTATCAGTTTGATTGAACCAAAAAGTCATTGTGAGAAAGTGTTTATGGGATTTCTATATTTTGGCGATCACTCATTAACTGAGAGACCATTTTGCATTGTTTGTGTTACCTTGTTCTTTTTCTGTTTAATTGATCAGAATGTAACTGAGTATCTCCTTTGTCTATGATTTTTTGGCTGTGGAAGTATTGGGTGTGGTAACTGAGCAATGGGCTCTTGCAAGTCCCCTCATGCTGTTCTTCTGCTATATGTCTTGGTTTGCTTTGTGTATCAATCTTTCGCTATTGGAGTTGTTACGAACCAGACAGCAAAGCTGCTGGTGGATGCTTCTGAAGCATCGGGACGGCCAATATCTGAAACACTGTTTGGAATTTTCTTTGAGGTTAGTGTGTTGGCTTGGAATGGTGAATTTTTGTTCAGTTCCAACTGCTTTTTGTTACTTCTATAGTCTATAGCTTGTTAGCTATTACTGTAATCTTACAATTTTTAAAATCTCTTTTCATTTGTTTTCTTATTTTATTTTATTTTATGTGTGGAAATATCCTGATTTATGTGGCAATTATAAACCTTCTGTCGCTTAAACATGCCTGTCTCATTATATTACTAACATTGTGGTTTCATTTAAGATGTTATTAATTTTGAGGTATATGCATTCTCTCAAATGCTTGTTCACTGCAGGAGATTAACCATGCTGGTGCTGGCGGGCTATGGGCTGAGCTTGTAAGCAACAGAGGTACTTCCCTTACCCTCTGAATTCCAGCTAATACAAAAAGTGAAAATAACATATAGGAAAATGTTCTCTTGCCAGATTGTTTGGCAACATAAGATGCTCATTATGTTGCTAGATTGTGAAGCTAGACCATTTCAGAATAATTCGTGCTTGATTGTGTGGTCCAGATTCGCATTCTGACAACAAAATTCGAAATTCATGTGTGTGAGAACCATTGAAGGAACTGTTTGAATGCCTTTCTGTTGTCATTACATTTTCAGAGTTTCTTTTCAAATCTGATATATTTAGTATGAGTCAAGCTGGCAGACACCATTTTTTCTGTTCTTATATTTTGGAAGTGGAGGGTTTGGTGTCTTCCTGAAACATTTTACTGTTGGATTAACTCTTCATTGAGATGTTTAGGATTATCCTATGAATGTTTTTTTTTAATACAAAGTTGTTGTATTTGAGTTAATGTGCTACCTTCTTGTGCAAGTGTGGTTGAGTACAAAATGGAGAAATTTTCTACTTTTTTGTGACACTGATTTCCATCTTACTCTCTGCATTTAATATGCACTACCAGATCCCTCCTTTTTTTTTTTTTTTTTTCCCTTCGATTTCTTTTCTGTCATGTCAGTTTTAAGTTCAACAACAGGTTGAATGACTTCAGATTATCAGTACATGGTTAAAAAGTTCTCTTCGGAATCATGTGAAATGTGGAATTCACTGTATTGCTAAATATAAAATGTTATAGTTAGCCTTTGGCTCATAATTTTGACTGAATGTTTAGAGCTGAGGCTTCTTAATAACGTTTTCCCACAGGTTTTGAAGCTGGGGGCCCTAACGTTCCTTCCAACATTGATCCTTGGTCTATAATTGGGAATGAGTCATCTTTGATAGTGTCAACGGACCGTTCTTCATGCTTTGACCGCAACAAGGTTGCACTTCGAATGGAGGTGCTATGTGATAGCCAAGGTGCCAGTAGCTGCCCTGATGGTGGTGTAGGAATTTATAATCCTGGGTTCTGGGGCATGGTATGAACCCTTCAACATATCATCTAATGGGTTCATTCTAAATGCTTATGTTCCAAATTCACAGTTTGCAACATAAGTATTTGTCTGACAATTGCTCTCTCTCTCTCTCTCTCTATATATATATATATATGTGTGTGTGTGTGTGTGTGCATGCATATGCACACAGCATGAGAACAAGAACAACAAAACTGCACACACACACATGTAAATATTTACTACATTTTTCTTTCTGGCTCTTTGCTACTGGTTTCTTACCTGTGTTTTGTCCAGAATATTGAAAAGGGGAAGACCTACAGTGTTGTTCTTTATGTCCGCTCATCTGGATCAATCAATGTGTCCGTATCATTGACGGGCTCAGATGGGTTGCAGAAACTTGCTGCTGCAAACATTATGTGAGCATCCTCTGTTCTGCTGATATTTTGTAATCAGCAGTTCCTTAGTGACAGTTTTATCTCCATTTAAGAGTTTGACAGTACATTTCATTGCCTTTGCAGAGCTTCTGATTCAGAAGTTTCAAACTGGACAAAAGTTGAAGTTATGTTGGAAGCCCAAGGAACAAATCCTAATTCAAGACTGCAACTGACAACAACCAGAAAAGGGTTTATATGGTTTGATCAAGTTTCAGTCATGCCCCTGGATACATATAAGGTACCTTTTTTCTCCACAAATTTACTCATTCTCGTGACGTGAGATTATGTCATCAATATTTGTATGTGTTTAATCGTCTCACCCGTGTTTCACAAGATTGTTACAAGTATAATGTTCTGTTTTGAAATTCTAGATTTTATAGTCTTTTGAAAGACATTAATATGAAAGCTGATTAATGCGAAGTTCATACTAGGGGTGGAGTATTACCATGAAGGATGCATTATGCTTTTAGACCACCTATCTGTTATTTAAGGGTCTAGAACATCTTTTCCTCAGATATAGTTTTTCTTGGTTGCATATCATCTCCATACTGTACTTTTCTGTGGACTTCATTTATAAACCAGTTTTTTTCCTGTTTTGTGTAGGCATGTAACTTAGAGAGAATTATACATAATATGTTATATTTATTGACTTCAGTGTGGTATCATCATAATTCGTTGAAAAATTATTCTTCCTTTTCTCGCAATAATTGAATTTGGAGCTGTTGAAATCAATCATTGAAACTTTTGTGATTTTGATAGCCAATGAATTTGAGGATGTAACAAACACCTCATACTTTCATTGATGAAAATTTCTCAAAATGAAGAATGCATGGTTTGATATTTTAGACGGAAAACATAATAACACACTTGTACTGTCCCTGGGATCTGACATCCACACTTTCAGCTAGTCATCTGAGCATGTATCTAACAGCTGTATTATTTTAGCCTCTGTTGTTATATTTTGTTTGAATGTGACTTATTGAATGCAAACTGGACTCTGTTTATTCTTCAAATGTGAATTATGGACCTAACCATTGGAAAATATATGACATTGCAGCAAATGCTATAGAAAATATAATTTCTTCAGGATCACAACAAAATCTACATTGAATCTGTCATCATTTCTACTTCGCAATTCTGTTACTGCCATTAATATTGATAGAAAGTTTCTCCATGTTTGGATTGATAGTCTTTAGGGTTGTTTTCTTTATCCGGGGTATTTTCTAATTGGAAAGCTGTAGTAGTCTAGTTGCTATGACTTGATCTTGGAGCTGTTGTTTTCCTACCGGATTTATTAGGTTGGGATGATGTTTTGATTTTTAGTTTGTGTCTGGATACGCTGTCTCCTTTTTCTAGATCATTTGTGATTAGTGAAATTGTGTTTCTTATGATGAAAAATAGAATGAAACAAAGTATTCAGGAATACTTTAAAAAGAAGTTGAAAAATTGCAGGCATACAAGTTTGAACTTTGCAGGTTAAATTTCGGTCATGTTGGAAGTTGATCTAATTTATTAAATTTTATGCCGTTTTATTGGCTTGCCAGCTTTCAACGTGTAACTTGTAAGGAGCTGTGTGATATGCCTTCCTACATGCATACCTTGTGTGTCTTTTTACTCCTTATGAAACTATTATTTTGGATCAGGGACATGGATTTCGGAAGGACCTTGTTGAAATGTTGGAAGATTTAAAACCTCAATTTATGAGATTTCCAGGTAAATTTGGATTTACTTGTCTTAATACGAGACAGTTACTAAACTTGAGCTTTTCATATATAACTCTCAGCTAAAATATATGGATGCTGAACTATGCAAGCCGGGCTGTGGCCACCTTGGCCCCAGGGGCATGTGCCCTTGCTCAAGGTGGCCCCTAATGTTTTTAAAATTTATTTATGTGTCAAATTATTCCTATTTCTAAACATTTTTTAAAATTTATTTTTATCTCTCTTAACAATTTCTTTTTCTTTTCTTGATAATATATATATATATATATATATTCTATAATCATTCTCCTATCTGGATGTTAATGTCCAATCTTTAGGCCAGATGCATCCACCAGTCTCTAGGCGGTGTTATTTTTTCATTCCTGATCGATCAATGTAGGTTCACACTTGGATTTTATGTTTTAACTCTTGAGTTTTTGGGGCCCAAGTTAAAGCCTAAAATCTAAGTTGTACGATTATTCTATATCCTAAAATAAGTAACCCTGTTGAGATTAGGATAATAAACTGGAAAAAAAAGGTATTTCTATCTGGACGGAATCCGTAGACTAACGTGTGGATGAGCAAATAATTTTATATATAAGAATGGGCATCCACTTTTAAATGCAAGATGTGAGAGGCCATTTGATCTTCTTTTGTAATTGTGGGGTCCTATGTAAGAGTGGGCCTATGTATTTATTATTTCTACTTTTACCCTTTTACATATTTTTGCTTTTAATATTAAAGGCCAATAAGTTCTTTATGAGGTAAAAATTGGATTGGTTATTGTGTGGTACATCTAAATCCCAGTGATTCGTTCTATATTTTCAATAGATAAAAGGTGATTAGCTTTACTCAAATTTGTCCAATAGATCTTGTTTTAGTATATAAGATCAACTCATTGTTTGCGAGTGTGAATCCCACATCAGGAATTAAAGTCTTGCATAATAGTTTGAAAGATCTTGGGCATCTCAACTCATTGCCATTCGGTTTTGGGTTGGATGTTCATATTATAACATGGTCTCAGAGCATGTTATCTACGTGTTTTGCCCAACAGCCACGCGTGCTCTCACATCACCCAATAAATGTTGCCCATGTGGCTTGGATTGAGTGACATCTCATTTGTGGGGGCGTGTTGATGGAAGATTCTAGCTTTGACATTGTTGTTGTGGAGGTTCATATATTTCATATCTTCTTGTTGTTTATATTTGCCTGCTGTCCACTATATCTACAAATGTTCTATGGTATGTACTAATTTTCTCAAGCCTCTGAGCGAAAAGCAGGCTTTAAAGAAACTTTGTAAGCAAAATGATTGAAATCTTAATGGGAAAAAAAAAATCCTGTTTCTTTACAAAGATGCAGATCTTTATTAGACAAGATTAAATAAAAGCAACCTTGTCCTTTGGCTGCTATCAGTTTTACCTGCAGATATGAAAGACATCCACTGTTTTCTCTCAAATTATTTTCATTTTTATCTTTGGGACATTATATACTATTGAATTTTTTTCGTGGGTAACCTTGCTGGCTTGATTGCCTGACCACTTGACAAAAATAACTTGGGACTCTTTTTAAATGCCAAACCATGCTAAAAATGCTTGATTTTGTGATAAAGAGATGATACATGTTCTAATATGGTCAATACAGCGGAGCTATTATATTGTTTCCTCATAATTCAAACAAATTTGCATTTTCTTTCTATTGTGTTGCATTAGGCGGCTGTTTCGTCGAAGGTGAATGGCTACGAAATGCATTTCGTTGGAAAGAAACAATTGGACCCTGGGAAGAGAGACCTGGACACTTTGGTGATGTTTGGATGTACTGGACTGACGACGGACTTGGTTATTTTGAGTTTCTCCAAGTAGGTATCTTTTTTAGTTCTGTCATTCAAGGATGCTTGGAGTTTCCTTTAAAATCCTGCTTCTGTCAGTACCAGTTTTGAAAATTTTATTTATGCAGCTAGCAGAGGACCTTGGTACATTGCCAATATGGGTATTTAATAATGGTACTTCACATTTTCTTAGCGCTTCCTTTATCTTTTCAATAATCACGTTTACCTTTGCCAATACTGACTGTATGAATTTCATAGGAATCAGTCACACTGATCAAGTTGATACTTCCAGTGTCTTACCATTTGTACAGGTATGTCTGCATTGCTGACCATTTCTCATTAGCTAATCAGTAACTGATACCAAACGGATGTAGCAAACCATTAATTATTTTCTAATCGGGATTAAATCTTTGCAACTAAAGCAAATGTATGCAAGTGACATTTAGGCTTTTCAAAATATGCTTCATCCGTATAAATCTGTGGCTTTATGTGCTTTGGTGTATGAAACATCTTTGCAAATATGGTTTTAGGAGATCAAATTTAGATTTTGCCTCCTTTTTCCGGTCAAGTGGTTTCATTGTCTCCAAGCCTAGCTTCATTTGGGTTCCCACTAAAGGATGTTCATACAAGTGGGGTTGGTGTGGTGAGGGTAGGGCAGAGCTGCAGGTGACATAAGGTGTTGTCACTCATTGAAAAACACTAAAGCATAGCAACAAAATGCAGTAAAAGTATTTACATTATGTGAAATATGTGTTAATGTGGTGTATTGTCTGCTACTAGGAAAACTTTACATTGAACTCACAATGTGATATGAGAACTTGTATTGACTCATTAACATTATAAGTATCAATGCTATATGTCTATCTAATGCAATTTGAACATAAATGAGAAGAACCGTGGATAAGATGAAGTTTTAATGTCCTATATAAGATAAATTTTGCTACTTAATTCTAGATTGTGTTAGTAAACCTATTATGTGTTAATAAATCTCAAACTTACGGTTTAACTTTCATGTTTTCTTGTTTACAGGAAGCTCTTGATGGTCTTGAGTTTGCTAGAGGCAGTCCTAATTCTACCTGGGGTTCTCTCCGTGCTGCAATGGGACACCCAGAACCCTTTGACTTGAGATATGTTGCTATTGGGAATGAGGATTGCGGAAAAAAGAACTACCGAGGTTTGTCTATTTTCTAGTTCATACTTTTTGTTTGCTCTTTAGTTGGTTAGATGGAACGGATTGAGTTTTTTACATATGGGACGTAGGATGGCTTTCTGCATGCAAAGTCATGCATAACTTAATCTGTGTATATGAATGTCCTTACAATTTAGTGCAGTTTTCACTCTTTAGTCCTTAAAACAATTGCAACTTTGCAATATGCTTCGGGAAATAACTCTGATTAAGATCAGATTTTTTTTTTTCCCAAAATAACTTCAGTTCTTCTGCCACAATCCTTTCTCTGAAAAGGCAAACTTGCGATTCCTTATTTTTTGTGAATCAAATGATGACTTGTGTCTACTTCATTGTCTTTTATTCCTTGAATTTTTTTACTTGACCCATAACGGTTTCTCATTATTGAAAAGTCTTGTTTTGCATACAATAATAATGGCATCATATTGTAGAAGTAATTAAATGGAAGTGCTAAAAGAAGTAGATTCTTGAAAACCCTTCTTTTCCAACCTGTGACATTTTTCCGCTTCACTTCCCAAACTCTCGAAAGAGTAGAATTCTAAAGGACAATTTCCACACTGATTTCAATGCAACAGGCATAGGATCTACTTGTAATTTTGGGAGACCCGCCTTATTGATTTTCTCAGCAATCAGTCAACTGAATTGAACCCTCGTTTTGTAACCTGTTATTTTCTCCAAATAAACTTACAAGCCCATGGTTGCAAAATTCTTAATTGCAATACAGATATTTAAGGATTGCTCTTACTTGGTAGTGGAGACTTGTTAAAGTCGGAATCTCCAACCCAGAACCGATTGGCAGTTGGTGGAGAGAGCCTAGATTTTACATAATGTGATGCACTGGTTAGAATATATAACCCATGTGGAATTTTTATATTATTAACACACCCTCTCACATGTGTTCGAGTTGAGCCAATCATCTGGCCAGCCTAACACATGTTAAAGTTGCACATCCAACACGTAAGCAATTGGCAGAGGATGCGGGGACCTTGAATTTTAGATTTTGTGATTCAATGTAATATATATAATAGAGGATTTTATATTCTCAACGACGCTTATGCATTTCCTCTTTTTCTTGACCAGGAAATTACCTTAAGTTCTATAGTGCTATAAAACGTGCCTATCCAGACATCAAAATGATTTCAAACTGTGACGGATCTTCTCGAAAGTTGGATCATCCAGCTGATTTGTATGATTTTCATGTAAATTTCATAACACCACCACTTGTATTACACTTGCTAATGATTTTTTTTTTTTTTTTTTACCATTCAATGCGTTGGATTATTGATTTGGCAACATGGAATGACATTTGCAATAGTAATCTTACCTTCTGATCTTTATTTAGGTCTATACAGATGCCAAAAACATGTTTTCTATGGCTCATCAGTTTGATCATACATCACGTAGTGGTCCCAAGGTAGGGTAATGTGCCTTCTTATGATTTAATCTGCTCTGAATGGCTTCTATTAATTTTCTTAACATTCAATATGATTCAGGCTTTTGTGAGTGAGTATGCCGTCACTGGGAAAGATGCTGGAACAGGAAGTCTTCTAGCAGCACTAGGTGAAGCTGGATTTCTTATTGGGCTGGAGAAAAACAGGTTTGTTGTAGCATTTCAAGAATTTGTTTCCTGTAATATTTTCCAGAATGCTTACAATGTTTTCTTTACAGAAAATATTTTTCTTCAAAGTTCCAGCCGGAAAAATATGCATAGTTTGCTATCTTATATAGATATGTCTACACATAATTAAAGATCTGACTTCTTTATTATATATTTGTGAATACAGCATTTCTCCTTGCAAAAGAAATGCATAGCATTTCCTGCACTTTTGTTTACCACAAATCCATATTGTGTGTTGCCATATTTCTTTGTGTGACCCGCTGCACACCTGTTTTCTATGGAGTTGAAGGCTTCTGATATTCCCAACCTATAGAGATAGTATTAAACTGAAATAAAAAAATGATAAATGGTAATAGATCACAGATGTACATGAGGATTCTAGGGTAGAAATCTTTATACCTAGTTTTTACCAAAAGATTTATATATTTGCAAAGACGGGCAGCTACTGAGTACTTTCATTGTTTATTCTTATCAAATGCAGTGATATTGTTGAGATGGCAAGTTATGCACCACTCTTTGTGAATGCCAATAACAGGAGGTATACTTTTCTCATCTCATTCTTTTTCTCTAATGCAATTTTTATTTATTAAGTTTTCAACAGGGGATCATTGTTGTGTAGTTATTACTAAAACTGAAAACTTCTCTGTCATCAAGGTGGAACCCAGATGCAATCGTCTTTAACTCCTCACATCTCTATGGGACTCCTAGCTACTGGGTGCAATGTCTTTTTAACGAATCAAGTGGAGCAACTATTTTCAATGCAACACTCCAAACAAATTTGTCTACTTCGCTTCTTGCATCTGCAATTTCTTGGAAAAATTCAGAAAATGAGAATAGTTACCTAAGAATCAAGGTTTTTGTTTGTGCTAGTACATTATCTCAGTCAGTTTTGTGCTTCGTGATGCTTAATTGAGATTGTGTTCATCTAACCTTTTTTGTTCTGTGTAAATTGTAGTTTTTCGATGCCCTTATAGTGTTTCTTGCCATCTAATACATAGTTGGAATACCTAGTATGGAAAGAAGCTCAAACTTCACGTTGCTCTAGAACTATTACGACTATGTTGCTTTGCTTCAAATGGAAAATATTAGAGACTAACACTCAATCAATGCATGAATCTGAATTCCTTTAGCAATAAATTTTACATGAATTGTCAGTTATATATAGGGCGTGTATTTATTGTCCATTCTTTTTGGAATGTTTTCTTTTTTCTGCTCAACTTTCCAGGCGCATCTGGTCTGAAGTAACATGTGTTTGCTTGTACTGCGTTCTTTCTGTGTGTTTGGTGTCATCTTTCTTTGTTCAGTATGGTGAGTCTGTCGGCCTTTTTTTTTCCTCTGTATTGCTCAGTATCCACCTGCTGTTACAAAGTAAAATTACATTTTAATGTGAAGGCTGTGAATCTTAAACCTTTGCTGTTTTTTTTCTGCACAGAAGTCTTTCTACTTTAAAATCCAGTAGAAAGTATGGGATGAAACTTATACATGTTAACCTTAGTTACAATAGTCAGAGTATGATGTGCATGTTATATGTTAATATTTTTTTAAAATAATATAACTATCTTGAAATCCTTCTCCCAAAAATAAATGAATGAACAATTTTGATGCTGAGTGCACGTCTGGTATCCATCAATCCAACTTTTACAGGAACTAGGGTTTGTGTTAACTTCTCTTTCCCATTCTTAATCAATGAGTTTCTGTTTGCTTAGAATACCTTTATTTCAATACGGTTATTGCTTCATGCAAATAAGTGATATTTTAGGATAAGTTCTGTAGCAGTATTCTGCTTCTACCCCTTAGTAGATGGCAGTGGAAGTTGCCAAAGTCCATACTCAAACTAATATACGAAAATCATCTTTTAGGCAGCCATTGATTGTTCACTATTTTTATGTTTAGGTTTCTTTTTTAACTATGACTTCATTCCAAATTTGTGCAGCTTCGTTCAACAGTTTCTGCTAATATGGTGCATGTCATATTCTGTGACATCTTATTACTTTGTGATGATTATTTCTTTCTGTAGATTGTGAACTTCGGAACAAACATAGTGAATCTCAAGATTGTTGTGGACGGGTTGGAGCCGAATTCCATTAATCTGTCTGAGTCAACCAAGACCGTGCTCACATCAACCAACCTGATGGATGAGAATTCCTTTAATGAGCCAAAGAAGGTATCTGAGTCAACTTGTATCCTTTAACATTTTCATATTGTTGAAGACATGCCCCTGCATTGCTTTTGTATATAATTGGAGATGCTGTGTGCCTATATTAGTTTATCTTGACTTGTTCAATCATGAACTGTTGAAATATAAAAGAATAGTGGACCTATGTCACATATTTTAAATTTTTAGGATAATGGTGACTTAAAAAGCATCTAAGCATAGTTTAGAGTGTCAATGACCCCTAATCTGTCAACTTATGTAAAATTCATGTATTGACCTCTCTGGTTGTGGAAAGAGGCTCAAAAGTGAGGATGAGTATGAGGATATGAAGGAAGAATATATATAGTAAATTAGTACAAACACCTTGACAACTGTATGTTTTATACAAAAACAATTAGAGAGCCCAATTGGAGAAAGAAAACTCGCAAGCTAGCCACTTGTCATCTTCTAAATGGTTCTTAGTGTGCAAAATTGCTTTACCATTTTTCTATTTAAAGTAATAATGGACTTATATGTGAAAAGTCCTAAAAAAGAAATCAAATAAAAAAAAGTAGTTGGCCCATATCCTCCTAAAGCTTAAACTTGTGGAAACAATGATGAACCAATATTGATAGTGTTGAACATAACAATGCTTTGGACCATGTTTTCTATCCATATCTTTTTACTTTTGTTTTAAATTAAATGCAGGTGATACCGAACCGGATTCTACTTGAGAAGGCTGGTGAGGATGGTGAGGATATGGAGGTTGCAATCTCTCCGCATTCTTTCACTTCAATTGATTTCTTAATAGAATCAAGCTTTATCAGGACAACTGGAGCTGATTCTGTCTCTGTATCTTCTATTTAAAAGTTAGAAATAGAGTAAGTATCATATGCAATCGAATAAAATAATCCCATGTAAGTAAATCAAATAATTCCATGTAATTAGATGAAATAATCCAATGTCATCAAATGAAATAATCCCACTGAAATAGTTTGTATAGTTGCTAGCCAGTTGTGCTACTTAAGCCAAAACAGTGCCCGCAAAAGATTTAAGAACAAAAAAGCAATAAATTTCACATTGTTGTTACAGGCTTTTAAATTGGTTTGAAATGTTGTTTTTGGTAAGGAAACACTAGTCCTAATGGGGTTCCTTGCGAAAGGGCACAAATAACAGACTTTTGGGATTTCAGTCTTTGGATTTTTTTTTTTTTTTTTGGTCTGAACCACGAGGTGGTCCTGGATGGGCTCCAACTATGGATGGCACCTTTAAGCCTTAACCACAACCCAGACTAATCCCCGTTCACACCGGGTCGGCCCGTAAGGAGTAAAGTGCTGGTCAAAGTGGTGACTCCATACGAGAGCAGGGATCGAACCCCTGACCTCTCTTAAGGAATGAGAGTGCCGAACCACTCACACCAACCACCTTGGTTAGTCTTTGGATTTTGATTCTTTAATAATAAACCACGTTTGTTATAATGTACATAAAATCCATTGCAAGGACAGAAATTACGAATTGCAAAGAAAAATGCAATTGCATTCTATTAAGCAATGTTTTTATGCATTCTACTAAGTATTTTTTGCACATAGGTTGCAACCTTTTGAACATACAATTAATTATGAAGGATTTGAACGTACTATTAATAATGAAGGATTTATCATTAGTGAGAGATTTTATGTTTCATAATTGTGCACAGATAATTATAATTGCAAGACTGAAATGCAAATGGGACTACTTTGATTGTCAATTGCACTATTAGAATGCAAATTACACTACCTGTTTGTTAATTGCAAATCACATATTGTATTTACTATCTCAAAACACAACTTTATGGTACAATGCCCATTCACAATGCTAATGAGATGCTTATTTCAATTGGTATATAAACTATGATATAGCAATCAAATTAACTTTAAAAGCTTATTCTCAATGTCCTCATCGAAGCCAACATAAACTTCATTATGTAATTGAAAGTATTGTTCAATACATTTACTTTACAGAACCAATAATTATAAATCTACAATCTCAAGTCATTATTTATAAAAAAAAGTACAATCTCCAGATACAATGAAAATACTACAAATTCAAGTAGGCAAATAAATAGACTCCAAAATAGTATATTAGTCTTGTACTTGGCCTAATTCTTTACCCCAACCTGAAAAACAATAACAAAACCATAAATAAAATGAATGGGAAACATAAAGCAATAAGCCAATTTGGGGTAGAGATTTGTTCTTTTTTTTTTTGTTCTTTTTTCTTTTTTACTTTTTGGATTGTATAACGATAATCAATCTTATAGGCTTTGAATATCAAACAAAAAAGTGCAAAGAAAGCAGCCAAAACATGGGACCAGCTTCAACCATTATCTCCAAGGCCATGTACAATGGCCTAGTGTTTGTCTTTACGTCCTCATTTTGTGATTCGAAACTTAACTATTCTTAGCACTACGCCAAGATTAGGCAAATGATACCACTTCCAATATAGCATGATAGCTTTTAACATGTAGTTAATATATACATTCTTCATGCATCACTAAAATAAATAAATAAAATCTCCAACTATTCACCAAAATAAAAGACAGAGACAAAGAGAGATAAATCTAAAGAAAAAAAACAAAATTTTACCCATATCAAATGCTGGGAAAGGCAGATGGGCTGCTAGTTGGAATACCTGCAAACCCAAAATCAAAATCAAAACAATACCCAACTGGAAAACATAATCAAAACCAATTTCAAATTAAGAAACACAAGAAGAGAGTCCCTTTCCCGTGTAGAAGATTTAGAATTCATGTAAATTAGGACTTTTCATATGCATGGTACCATTGATTGCAATGAAGTTTCATGTTTAGTGGGTTGGGAAGTCCTGTAAACACGAAAACATACAAGTCAAATAAAACAATAGTTATAACTAACTACCCACTGTTCAACTATTGGGTGGTGTCTAAAGTCAAATGTCGCATATTGTAAAGAAAAGGCATTAGGAAAATCATGTTAGATTTTTTTAAAACATGTTCAAGATCTTTCACACAATCTGAAATACGTAAAGACATAAAGACATACATGGAGCCATCTTCCTTGAGTTCACGACCTCTGAACTCATCCAATCCGTAGTAGCAGCATCAATTCGTAGCAGTAGAACAATCCTAGCAAGAACATGAACGACTCAAGACTTATGCTCTCTCTCAGAACCTGTTTAAGCTCTCTCTTTATAATGAGAATAGGGTTAGAGAACGTGTCTGATGAGAGCAGGGCCTTAAGCTTATATAGGGCTAGGTCAAGTCGTCTTTACTCATTACTGAGGGCTAACTTGACTAGTCTTCCAAGCCCACTTAATTGGTTCATGCCAAAAAAGGAAATAAATAGGACCCCTTAATAGGCTTCAAAACTTTTCCTTATTCCACAAGGTTTTGAGCCTCAAGGTATAACTTAATTTAAACTCTTATCAAAACATGATATAACTTAGTATCTAGTGCACCGATCTAAATAGGAAAACATAACATTCTCCCACTAAATCAATCACTAGAGCACTAAGCTTCTGTATTCCGAAAGGGTTGATAATCTTTATTGGCCATGAGTTTAAAACAGTTAAGTCCTTCCCCTCAAGCTACAGTGAAAAACGTTTAAACAAACCGAACTATAGACAAGCACTGCACTCTTTATTAAAAATAGGCCATCTATAATCACATAATGCAATCTCAAAACACATGAAGCACCTACAATGCGAACCTTAATATGTACTGATCTTTAATGTGAATCTTTATGCTTTTCAGTACAAGTGCCCCTTTACGACTTAGCAAGAGTCAATCCGCAATGTTATTAAAACAATAGTATCTCAAAAGAGACCATAAACTCACATGCATAAATAAAAGGGAAATTCTATATGAACCCCATTAATTGTTCTTTACACCCCACTAAATTTCAATAAAATTTTAAATTACTTATACCCCATTTTTTTCCTAAATTGCCCTTATGAACCTCATTCCCTACCTCACTGTGTAAACCTCATCTCATATCATACACCACCCATCGAAAACCCCCTTCCCTTTCAGACACACCCAATCTGAAATCAAACCCCACCCCATCTGATATCAAGCCCCACCCCATCGAAAATTTCCTCCTCTTGTGGACACACCCCATCGCACACCCCATCAGATTTACAACAAGCTCCACCGTACACCCCATCCCCTTTGAAACAGAGCCATCGCACAACCTATCTCTGCAAACCACCAAACCCCATCGCACAACCCATCTGTGCAAACCCGAACCCATCTCTGAAATAGAGCCATCACACCCCATAGCCAACCCCAAACGCCTCACCCCGTTGCAAACCACCATCTCCTCAGCCATCTCAAGCATCCATCACGAATTTGTCAAGTTTTCACAAATCCTTCGAAAAGCCAAGGTTTGATTTCAATTTTGATTTCTATATTTACGTTTCTAAGTGTTGATTAAGCCTACGTTTGATTTCACTTTTGAAAAGCCAAAGTCTGATTTTAATTTTTGGTTTCAACGTGGTGGGTGTATGGTTTGAACCTGGTTTTACGAAACTGGATTTTAGTTTCAGTGGATTACCACCGAAATGGTTACATTGCTTCAGTGGTAGTCCACCGAATTTGAACATGATCTGTACATTTTACTTTCGGTGGGTTACCACTGAAATCATAACCTTGTTTCGGTGGTAGTCCACCGAATTTGTTTCTAATTTTCAGGAGATTCCTACCGAATGTATTTCGATTTTTCAGTAGTACTCCACCGAATATGTGTTTTTTTTTCAGTGATAGTCCACCGAATTTGTTTCCGTTTTTCAGTGATTATCTACCGAATACGTTACCGAGTATGTACTTAATATTGTTTGTTTTTAGATATGAAGAAGACTCGCAGAGGTACTACTGAGGCTTCATCATCTCGACGGAATAGATAGCGTTTACCATGACATATCAACGTCGTCATGGTTAACTGACTTGCTAGCATGCGTTTATTAAGAACTCATGGAACTTATGTTGTTTTGATTAGTTATTGCATGTTTGTATTGGAACTCATGGAACTTTTGTTGTTTTGATTAATTATGAAGTTTGTATTAGAACTCATGGCATGTTTTCTTTTCCGGCAGGACCAAGGTGACTTATGACGAGTCCTAATATTAAAAAGAGTAACCACAATCAATAATGGTCAATAAAGAAGCCACCACCTATATTGAATTAATACAGGTAGCCAACAATCACACAAGAAAATTAAAAAATTGAAGATACAATGCGTCCGTGTATGAATGAGAGGCTAGCCTAGCATAAAGAAGTGGACGTTGCAAAGAATTTTGTAAGGTTGACACTTTCATGCAAAAAAATCAGGTTTATCATGTTTGACTCATTAAGCTACTGCATTGTTTTCCATTGGCAGCAGAAAAACACAAACTCTCCACATTTATCTAATTAAAACATAAAAATCCAACTTGATTAGAAACCATGCCCCTGAGCCAAAAACAACAGAAATCTTCTAGAAGCAACCCCATACTCATATGAAATCATCCCAAGGAAGCAACCAGAGCCAAAGAGTTGAAAAAAAATTAAATAGAATTATTAGATCTATAATCTCAATTCTGTAATGGGTGCATTTTCGCAGTCATTAGGATGACCGTATCTGTAGTAGCTACATTCTCCATTCCCGGAAGTTGTTGAAACGCATTCACATACGCTTGGTACCTCGAGTATAAATGTGTTATATTGCATATGTCACTTTGTTCATGCCACATTCTAGAAACTGGTGGAATAGGATGATCTGGAGACAAATGAACCTATAAAACAAGAATTCATTTATATACGCATAACATATAAAATTAAACTATATTGCGTAAACAAATAAATTCATACCTGGACATAGTGATCATTGTCAACAAAACCAATGGCAATCTCATGTAGCTTGGTTCATGCAGCCACAAACCTATCCTTAAATGGATTTAACCAATTGTCATGTATGTATCAAAGATAAAATTTGAAACATTAATGCCACGTTAATGATACTAAAAAGGATTTCAGAAAAATAATTACCGAATAAGTTGTGAATTGATCACTATAGTCCATTACACATTATGTTCCC